CCTTCGTGCACGCATGCTAGCGCCAGACGGTCAGAAAGAGGCACGGCGCGCGCGCGCCTTTCCCCCCTCCCTCCCCCTCCCTTCCTCCCTGCCTACTAGCACGCCTACAGGCACCCCGTGCCTATAGGCACTCCTCCACCGCCCCCCCCCTTTGCCTACAGGCACGCCTACAGGCCCTCCCCCGTTCCCTGCCTACAGGCATGCCTACAGGCCCCCCTTGCCTATAGGCACTCCCCCCCTTCTCTCTCCTCCTCCTTCCTCCCTGCCTACAGGCACGCCTACAGGCCCTCCTCGCCTACAGGCGCGCCGATAGGCCCTCCCTGCCTAAAGGCACCTGCGTTCCCCAACGGCAGCGCCTACAGGCGCTACCTGCGGGGCCTTCCTGGCTGCGACGACCCATAGGGCCTATAGGTCGCGGGCGCTTGCAAAAGGGAGGAGCGCCGCGTATACGCGGGAACCAACCCAATGGGTCACAATCCAATGGGTCGGCCTTCGCCTCCGCCTCCGCCTCCGCCTCTTCCTCCTCCGCCTCCTCCTTCTCCTCCTCTCTCTCCTCCTCCACCTCCTCCTCCTCCTCCCTCAACCCTCCTCCCTCCTCCCTCCTTCCTCCTTCCTCCCGCTTCCCTCCTCCCTCATCCCTCCTTCCTCCTCCCTCCTGCATCCTCCCTCATCCCTCCTTCCTCCTCCCTCCTCCTCCCCCCTCCTCCCGCCTCCCTCCTCCCGCCTCCCTCCTCCCTCCTCGCTCCTCCCTCCTCCCACCTCCCTCCTCCTCCTCCTCCCCACTCATCCTTCCTCCCTCCTCCCTCCTTTCTCCTCATTCCTCCCTCCTCCATCCTGCTCCATCCTCTCCCTCGTGGGGTATGGTGGCTTTCCCAGCCCGCTATTACACTGCACCCTCCTCAACATCCCTGATCAAAACAACTCGCCTGGACATCGTATCTGGATGTGGTGGGGTTACGCGAAGCGCCTTGAATATACGTTCACTGCTGAAGTGCCTTGCTAGAAGACAACCGCCTGATTATCCTCAACCATGCCAAAATACCTATCCTTGGACTTCAATGCCGCGAATCAACTTTACTGTCGAGTCCTGATGATCCTGCATCGTGCCAGAAGACCGTTCTTGCGACTCCAAGACCGCGAGCCAACGTGACTGTTACGACCTGACAATCCGATTGCGTGCCAGAACACGAATCCTGGGAGGCCAACAACAAGAGCCCGTTAAGAGACTGTAAACGTGTAAGGCGAAGATACGCGGCACCAAGGCGAGAACCACATGTTTGAAAAAAAGCGCCCTCCATCCGTGAAACTCTAGCAAACTTTTGAACCGAATATGCGCGGCGCTAGAGCGGCAACCACATTTTGAAACCACCCGCCCTCCAAATTGAATGCACGCGGCGCTAAAGCGAGAACCACATTGTCGTAAGGAACCGCCCTCAATCCGTGAAACTATACAAACTCTTCTCTGGGGTGTGCGCGGCGAGAAGGCAAGAACCACATGTTGAACACCACCCGCCCTCCATCTTTGAAACTCCTTTAAACTTCTAAAACACATGTGCGGGACGCTATATCGAGAGCCACAGTTTGAAACCCACCCGCCCTCCGCCTTCACATTTCTTGCAAACATTTCAAATGAATGTGCGCGGCGCTAGGGCGAGAGCCTCATCTTGAAAACCAGCCGCCCTCCACCTATGAAACTCTTGCAAACTTTTCTGACAACTGTGCGCGGCGCCGAGGCGAGAGCCACGTTTTGAAAACCACCCTTCCACCATACGTGAAGCTCTTGCAAAACTGTTAAAACGAATGTGCGCGGCGCTAGAGCGAGAACCACGTATTTGAAAGGAACCGCCCTTCATCCGCCAAAAAACTGTAAATTTTTAGAACGAATGCGCGCGGCGCTAAGGCAGGAGCCAAATTGTGAAAACGACCCACCCTCCATCCGCGAGACTGCTGCAAATTCTAATATTCAGGCGAAACGGCTGGCCCGCCCTACCGACACGTCTCGGGGTGCGACGGGGAGGAATTGTTCATAAGGAAAGGGGATTGAGCCGGAGGGGGAGCTGGGGCAGGAGGCACTCAGACATCCTACGTAGCGTGTTTGTTCACAACGTGCCTCCCAAGAGGTCTGGATCCCTTGCCCGGGACTGGCTTTTCGTCCTGGATCGTTTTTTCCTTCACACGGTATCCTAAGAATTTGTTCTTGCTATTACCTAGACGCCTCCGACTCCCTCCTCCTGCTCCTCCTCCTCCGCCTCCTCCGCCTCCTCCGCCTCCTCCTCCTCCCCCTCCTCCACCTCCTCCTCCTCTATTTCCTCTTCTCCTTCCTCTTTCTCGCACTCACACTCACATTCACACTCAGATTCACTCGCATTCAGACCCACTCACACTCAGACTCACTCGCACTCAGACCCACTCATACTCAGACTCACATCACTCAAACGCACTAATACTCGGACTCATATGCTCGTCTTGATGTACTAGGCGTGGTACTTGAGCGCCCAAAGGAGGAGCCGCCAGGAGATATTGCTCGAACTCGCTCGCGCAGAACGTGGGGATGTCTCAGGCGGTTTGCCTGCGTCGGCGCCCCTGACTCCCCTCTCTTGAAAGCCCCATGCTCACCCCGACAAAGCAGGCACAGCATCTGAGCGCCCCCAGGAGGAGCCGCCAGGGGTTCTTGCACCGGCACGTTGGCGCCCACATTGTCGGGATGTCCCGAACGGCTTGCCTGTTTCGGCGCCCCCGACTCCTCTCTCTGGAGAGCCCAGTGCTCACTGCGATACAGTCAGCATATCAATAATTTTGGCACCCCAAGGAGGACTGACCATAGAGAATGGCACAGCCCGTTGGCGCCCAGGTTGTATGGATGTCACAGGAGGTTTGCCTGTGTCGGCGCCCCCGACTCCTCTCTTTTAAAAGCCCCATGCTCACTGCGATCTTGCCAGCTGGCCGAACACTTGGGCACCCCAAGGAGGAGCGACCAGGGAGTATGCACGGGCCCGTTGGCGGCACACATGGTCGGGATGTCTCACGCTGTTTGCCTGTGTCGGCCCTCCCGACTCATCTCTTTTGGCAGCCCCGTGCTCACCGCGATGTCGCTGGCACACCACTTGGACACCAAGGAGAAGCCGCCTGAGAGGTGCACTGGCCTGTTCGTGCCCAAATTGTCGGGATTTCTCGAATGGCTTGCCCTTTTGCTGGCTCTGGACCGTGTCTTTTTGAGAGCCCAGTGCACACCGCGACATAGCAGGCGTTGCATTTGGGCACCCACAGGAGGCGACGCCAACTCGATCGCGCCCAGGTTGTGGGGATGTCTTAGGCTGCTTGCTTGTTTGGTGGGCCATTCCCCTTTCTTTTGAAAATCCAATGCCCACCGCGACGTAGCAAACATTGCGCTTGGACACCCCGAGAAGGCGCCGCCAAAGGGTATGTCATGTTCTCGCTCGCGCCCAGATTGTGGGGATGTCTCAGGCGGTTTGCTCGTGTGGTGGGCCAGACCAGGCCCGCCTCTTCTGAGAGCCTCACGATCACCGCGCCACAGCAAGCGTGGCACCTGGGCACCCCAAGGGGCAGCCGCCAGGGAAGGGGACAATTCTGCCCGCTCGCGCCCAGACTGTGGGTTCTGGGGGGCTCCTCGCTTGCGAGAGTAGCATGGTCCCTGAGATCCTGGCGTCTCGAATTTTTTCGAGCCGGGCGTTTTCGTCAGATTTCGGGCCCTGGGACCCTCACAGCTCGATCTGGCTCGAGACATGGCCCAAAAAGATGGGGTCCGGGGCTCTGGTGGTGGTTTCCTGCGATGTTGCCTTCGTGCAACGTCGGATCTCAGAGGTCACCTCGATATAGCAGGCATAAAAAATAGGCACCCCACGGAGGAGCCGCCAGGGGGTGTTGCACTTGCCTCTTCGCAAGTAAATTGCGGGGATGCCTCGAGCGGTTCGCTGGTTTCGACACCCCCGACTATTCTCCTTTCGGAGACGCGTGATCACCGCGATGCAGTAGGCATAGCACGTGTGCACCACAAGGGCGAGCCGCCAGGGTGTGTTACTCTTACCAATTCGCGCCAAGATCGTGGGACCTCGCAGGTGAAACGCTGGTTTGGGAACCCCCGATCCGTCTCCTTTCAGAGTCCCAAGATCACCCGACGAAGCAGGCATAGCATTTGGGCGCTCCGAGGGAGAGCCGCCATGGAGCGCTCAGTCGTCACAGGTCAAGATTTCCTCACCCAGGCACTCACAGACGGAAACGCCAGGAACCGAGGAAGCACGTGTGGGAGTCTCGGCGCCGAGAAATGCATGGCCACGTGGGCCCAGCGAGAGCCCCCGGAGGCCGATGACTGGCCAGTAGCCTGCCGTCGCGACCTTTTGCCACAGCGCCAGCACGTCTGGAGACGAGCCCTGGCGCAGAAGGCGCCGCTGCGGCGGGGCCGGGCGGCGCCGCGCGGCGCCCGCCGGCCGCCCGCCGACGCGCCGCGACGAGCCTCGAGCGGCCCGCCTGCGTGCCGCCGACCCGGGGCCCCGGGCGGGTCTGAGGCCTCTGGGCGACGTCAGCAAACGAAGAAACGGCATGAGCACCAGCTTTCGGAGCTCCGCGGGGGGGCTGTTGGCGTCGGCCCCAAGCTACACTCCCCAGTCCCCAGGACCGGGTTTGGAGTCGTTTTGTTGACGGCCCGGGGCCTCGTAAGGGCCCCCAGAGGCTCAAGATGGATAGAAACCTTCGTGCTGATGAAAGTGAGGGGACCGAAAGGTCATTCACTGTCCCTAGGTGCGTGGCTGAAGTGGGGTTCCGGGGTGCGGCGTGTTGTTGCGTTGCCGCGTTGCGCTGTTGTCGTCGTCTTCGCCCGCGACACGCCCGCGACCCACCCGCGACCCACCCCACGAACCACCGTGCGACCCACCCGCGACCCACGCGCAACCCACCCGCGTCGCTTTGACGAAAAAATCGGCGCCTGCGGCGGGCTCGCTGCGCGAGGTGTGCAACAACAGCGCCTGCGGCCGGCTGTTTCAGAGCTTCGCAAGCTGCCGACGACCCCGCCGCCCCCTCACTCTTACCCGCACCTGCGGGGCGCTGCACAATTGTTCAAGACGCTGCATGTCTGGGCCCATGCCGTTTTTCGCTTTCCTGCGAAGGGCCCCGTCAGCGGGCGCGTGCGCGGGCGGCCGCCGCAGCGGCTCTCTCGGGAATCTGCTGACCCGGGCCATTGCAAACCCGGGTCCGTCGGGCACTGCAAGATCCTGCAAGCTCCAGCAGGATCCTGCAGGATCCTGCGCGCTAGCCCGTGTCAGTGCACCCCTGGCTCTGCAAGATCCTGCAAGATCTGGCGCTCTGGCTGACCCCCGTTTGGTTTGTCCACCGTCTCTTACAGCTGGACTCTCGGGGCTGCGCTAAGGTCCAGGGGGCTGCAGCAGCGCGGCGCCGAGGGCCAGCAGCAGCGCCGCGGCCGCGCGCTGCTGCGGGCCGGGCGGCGTGACGGCGTCCTTTGGCGGCACGGTTCGGGAGTTGCTCGAGGTGGTCCTGGCCCAAGGAGTCCAAGGAGTCCCCCGCTTCCCCGATGGCGTCGCGCGTTTTTTCGACAACTCAACTACTTCCCGGCGTGTCCCGTCTGTACCAGCTTCGACCCGCTTGCGGCCGCTGACTAAATAGCATGTTTGTTCAACAACGGGCGCTTTTGCCCTGCTTCGGGCCCCAGGACCCTCACGGTTGGGTACCAGGGCTACATACGGTCGAGATTCTACGTTGCTGCAATGTTTGAGCGACGTCGGAGCTCAGGGTGTTCGGGCCATTTGGGAGCCCCTGTGGCCCCCTGGGCCTCGTGAGGGGTTCTGGAGGCCGTCTGGGCCTCCAGGGGAATCCTCAGGATACCTCGGGCCAGGAACACCTTTGGCAACACCCGGATGGTGTCGCCGCGCAGCGAGCGCAGGAGGCACTGCACCAGCCAGACGAGAAGCACCTCGTTGGCAAAGTCGCCGCGCGCGTCCTCGCGGACACCCTGCAGGCAGAGCCAGACCAGCGCGGCGAGCTCCATCGTGGCCGCGGCCCGGGGGCCGAACGCGGCCCTCGCCACCGAATGTCCGTCGAAGCCAGACAACGGAAGCAGGCTCACGGCAGCGACCGTCAGGCCCAGCGAGCCTCCCGCGAGGAACACGTCGGCGGGCACGAGCGACCCGTCCGGGCCCGCTGGGTCAGGCAGGCTGCCAGACGCCAGGGACACCAGCGGCTCCTCTGCGGGGCTTGGCATCTTGTACCCGAGAACGGCTGCCAGCATGCCAGGCATCTCCGCGGCAGACATCTGGCCCACTTCCGCTCCAGACTGCACGTCCTCCGTCGTCCGCCACGTGCCGTACGCCGCGAAGAGGGAGCTCACCGAGGGAGACTAAAAGATACCGATGCCGCTACTCACCCGGACCTCTCCCAGGGTGCGTTCTGACAAGCATTTCGAGGCGAACCCAGCTGTGGCGACGAGGCTTCCCAGGACGTCCCAAAAAGGGAACACCGGGCATCGCTGCCTTTTCCCCCTCTGATCACAAGCAGCGTCGCCGCGGGCGCGGCCGCGGCCGTTGCCAGGGCGCCGTCCCGCGAGGCCGCGAAGCCGATCGGCGACCACGTGCTGCCGAGGTGGCCGGCGCTCCAGGATGGCAGCGGCGCCTCCTGCAGCTCCACGCCGTGCAGGCTGGCAGCTTGCCGTCTGGCCGCGGCGCCCGCCGCAAGCGGGGCGAGCCGGAGGATGGCCAGCAGCACCGACTCCTCCTCCACCTCTGGAGTGAAGGGGCCACCACGTCCGGACGGCCTTCGTCAGAACGAGTACGGCCGACTGAGCCCGACTGAGGGGCCATTGAGCTGGGTTAGCCCAAATTGAACCCTGGATGATCAAGCTCAGAAATAGACCTCACTATAAACAGGATTGAGCGGGATTCAGCCAGATTAGGCTGGTTTCCGACCGCGGATGTACAAGCGCCGATGATGAAGTGTACCTCCCAGGAATTACATCCTAACGTCCATGAGCAATCAGAGATCCGCGCAGAGTTCTCGGACTGGCGCTTGGGCCCCCCCTGGCGGAGCCCTTGGCGCCGCCCCTGGCGCGCCCTGACGCGCGCCAGGGAGGGGGTCCAGCGCAGATCCTGGAAATCCGCGCAGACCTCCGAAAAAATGTTCCGAAACATGCGACGCCTTGATTTTTGTCAATGCGGGGGCCCCTGAAATTCCGACCCTTTCCCACAGGGCCGGTTTTTCATCGCGAGTCGGTTTGTTGACTGGTCCTGGGGCCCTGCGAGGGTCCCCAGGGCCCGAAAACGGGCAAAAACCCTCCGTCGTGCTTTCTGCTTCACAACGGGATGATGTCGGGATTCTCCTTCTCCGAACCTCGGGGAGGCTCTCGAGGGCCTCGGAGCAGCACAGGGCGAGTGCGACGGCAACCAACAGGGCCACGGCGAGCCGATCGCCCTCGGAGAACCGCTCAGTCTGGGGCAGGTCGCCCCTGGCGAACACGAACAGCAGCGCCTCTCCGTCCTCGGGGGGGAACGGTCGCCGACAACGCAAACAACCACGGGCAACCACACGCTCGACGACGACGACGACGACGACGACGACGACGACGACGACGACGACGACGACGACGACGACGTGCAACCGCGCACGTTTCTGGGCGGGGCAGGCTTTCAAGCTCCTATCGGCGACAAGTGGGCGATTTGGGGTCGATGCACCCCCCTTGAGCCTCGTCCCCCCTCATCGTTGCGTGTCCTCCTCGCCGGGCTGCAGGAAGAGCTCCAGCTGCGGCCCGCCGGCGAGCCTCTCGTCGAGCCGGCGCTGCAGCAGGGCGACGAGCTGGCCCACGCGGCCCGGGGGCAGCTCCGGCGAGAGGGCGCCGCGGAACTCGCAGACGCGGCCGCCGTAGGAGCGCGCCGAGGAGCAGCGGAAGGCTGCCTCGACCTCCGCGTCGCCGAGCGCGAGCGCCTCTCGCACCGCCCCGAGCGTGGGCGCCTCGTCGCCGCAGGCCGGGATGCCGAGGAAAGCGACGAGGATCGGGAAGTCCGTCACGGCTAGCACGTCCAGGGCGTCCTGCACCTCCTGCTCGTCCGTCTCGTCGTCAAAGTCGGGCCAGTTGACGATGGACAGCACCTTTGGCCGGCTGCCCGGGGCCTCCGGCGACGCCGGCGCCGCCGCCGCCGGCGGCAGGGGCGCTGGGCCGAGTGTCTCCGCAGGGGGCGCTGGCCGCTGCGGAGCCTCCGCCAGTCTCGCAGAGCGCCGCTCCTGACCCGCGCGCTCCAGCGCGGCGTGCCGCGCCCGGAGCCGAGCGTAGGCCGCCTCCCAGCCGCCCTCAGCGTCCCCCGCGACGGCCAGCTCCGCGAGCCCCGCGCCGGGTGCGCTCGAAATCCCAGACGGGTCTGGCGCCGCGCGGGCCGCGTGCGCCAACAGCGCCCCGCGCTCCCGCTCGGCCTCATAGGCCTCCCGCCACAACGCCTCCGCCTCGGCGGCCTCGGCGGCCTCGCCACCGCCGCCGCGGGCAACAACCCCCGGCCGGCCGCCCCGCCCCGCCCGCCACCGCGCAGCCGCCAGGGCCGAGGCCGCCGCGGCGGCGCAGCTCGCTCCAGGCCCGCGCCTCGTCGGGGCGCCGCGGGCGGCGGCCGCGGCGGCGGCGGCCACGGCACGCGGCGCGCGGCAACCGCGGCGCCGCGGGCTGGCAGCAGGCCCCGCGGCCGCCGCGCGCGGGGCGGCGGCCCGCGGGCTCGGCGCGACGGCGGCCTGCAGGCCCACGCCCTGCATATGGATGGAGGCGGCCAGGGGCCCCGACGTCGCGGAGGCGAGAGAGTCCGAGGGGCGCCTGAGCCGAAGTGGCGAGACAAAGAGCGCCCTGGTAGAAGAAGAGCGGTGCATAACCATCAGCTTCAGAGCTCCGCGCGGATTTCTTGTATCTACAGTGGCCCCCCTGGCGGCGCCTCTGGCGCCGCCCCTGGCGCGCTCCGCGCGCCAGAATTGGGAGGCTGGCGCAGACCCAAGAGAAATCCGCGCGGACCTCCGAAAGTTCATGGTTACCGTTTTCCGAGTCGATGGCACGCAGAGACATCGCTGATGCGCGTGAAGACGAGCACGAGTGGATGTATGTCAGTGCGCCCAGGTTGTGTCAGCGCGGCGATATTGACATCGGCCCTTGCACCGAGAACAGCGCCAAGAGAGCCCGACAGGGAGAAGGCTGCCGATGACAGTTGCCCTCCAGGGACGCGGAGAGGGCCCGAGGGACTCCGAGGGCGCACCCGCAGAGGTGCAGCTGCGAGGGAGCTCCTGCGAAAGGTGCACACGCCTGGGTGCCTTCCCTACCGTGACCTCGGGGAGGTTAGTCGCGAGGGAGGATCACAACCAGACGTCACTGTGCCCGACCGCTCACCCCAGGGCAGCAGGACGTGGATGACAGTGCGTGTGTGTTGTGGAAGCTGCTGACAGAACGCAAACGGTCAGAGGCATCGGGGAACCAGCAGCCTGCGCCTTATAGCCTGTAGACGGATCGGCTACCGCCCCCAGCCTTCCCAGGCGGTCTGATTGACCAGCACAGGAGGATCAGAATATGTCAGGTTGGAGTCTTAGCTTGGCCGCCACCGAGGCGCAAGCAGCAACGCTTCGGCCAATGACTTGAAGCGAGGGAAGGTGGGCCGTTCGAGGATCGAATCGAAAGTAGGTCGTTTCTGGTCCTGCCTGCTCCTGAAGGGCCTCTGGGCGAGCATCAGAGACCTCGGGGGGCCGATCCTGTGGAGACTGGGCTATGGACCCCAGGGCTTCCCCCATGCATCCGGCTTTTTCACCTCAAACCGCTTCCCGACGGCGCCAGGGACCAAAAGGGCCGCGGAAGCCGAAGACGGCCAGATTCTCCATGGCGGAGCGGTGTGCCTGTCGTGTGAGAGATAAGCTTCTGGATCGAGTTTCTGATTGTCCTCCTCCTCCTCCTCCTCCAAATCCTCCTCCTCCGCCTCCGCCTCCGCCTCCGCCTCCTCCTCCTCCTCCTCGCCACTCGAACACCTCCGGACAAAAATCCGCCAGCGCCGCCTGGCCGCCGACGTCTCGGTACAAATGCCGCTCATCTGTTCCCGCCAGCGACCCCCAGCCCAGCCTTCTTAGCCAGGTGCTTCTTCGTCTTGAAGGTCTTGCAAGAGCCCATACCTCATTGCGGCGGCCCTCATTTCCCCCCGTCGTCTCCCTCGATGCTCACCCCGTCTCACCTCATTACTGCTGCACTGCTGCTCTAACTCCAGGGCCTCTCAGAGGTTTCTGGTGGAAGTCCCACGAAAGGTCGGAGAGGTCCCTGGAGGTTACAGAAAACCTTCAGAGGCGTCGAGAGAGGTCCAGAGGCTTCTGGAAGCCAAAGAAAGAACCAAACACCATTTCAGAAAAAATATCCCGGCAAAGCAACCTAACAGCGATGTGTAGGAGCATATCTGGAAGCATTCCCCTTAAGATTCAGATGAGAATCCAGTTGTAGAATTCTGCTGTTCTCGCAGTCGTATTCGCATTCGCGATGACAGTCGCCGTGGCAACGGCAGTCGCAGTCACAGCCTCAGCCTCAGCCTGCCTCAGCCTCAGCCTCAGCCTGCCTCAGCCTCAGCCTCAGCCTGCTTCAGCCTCAGCATCAGTCTGCCTTCAGCCTCGGCCTCAGCCTCAGCCTGCCTCAGCCTCAGCCTGCATCAGCCTCAGCCTCAGCCAGCCTGCTTCAGCCTCAGCCTCAGCCTCAGCCAGACTCTGCCTGAGCCTCAGCCTGTTTCAGCCTCAGCCTCTGCCGTCGGCCTCGGCCTCAGCCTCAGCCTGCCTCAGCCTCAGTCTCAGCCTGCATCAGCCTCAGCCTCAGCCTGCCTCAGCCTCAGCCTCAGCCTCAGCCTGCCTCAGCCTCATCAGCCTCAGCCTCAGCCTCAGGCCTGCCTCAGCCTCAGCCTCAGCCTGCCTCAGCCTCAGCCTCAGCCTGCTTCAGCCTCAGCCTCAGCCTCTGCCTTCAGCCTCGGCCTCAGCCTCAGCCTGCCTCAGCCTCAGCCTGCATCAGCCTCAGCCTCAGCCTCAGCCTGCCTCAGCCTCAGCCTGCCTCAGCCTCAGCCTCAGCCTGCCTCAGCCTCAGCCTCAGCCTCAGCCTCAGCCTCAGCCTCAGCCTCGGCCTCAGCCTCAGCCTCAGCCTCAGCCTCAGCCTGCCTCAGCCTCAGCCTGCAGCCTCAGCCTCAGCCTCGGCCTCAGCCTCAGCCTCAGCCTCAGCCTCAGCCTCAGCCTCAGCCTCAGCCTGCCTCAGCCTCAGCCTGCCTCAGCCTCAGCCTCAGCCTGCAGCCTCAGCCTCAGTCTGCCTTCAGCCTCGGCCTCAGCCTCAGCCTGCCTCAGCCTCAGCCTGCATCAGCCTCAGCCTCAGCCTCAGCCTGCCTCAGCATCAGCCTGCCTCAGCCTCAGCCTCCCTGCCTCAGCCTCAGCCTGCCTTCAGCCTCAGCCTCAGTCTGCCTTCAGCCTCGGCCTCAGCCTCAGCCTGCCTCAGCCTCAGCCTGCATCAGCCTCAGCCTCAGCCTCAGCCTGCCTCAGCATCAGCCTGCCTCAGCCTCAGCCTCAGCCTGCCTCAGCCTCAGCCTCAGCCTCAGCCTGCTTCAGCCTCAGCCTCAGTCTGCCTTCAGCCTCGGCCTCAGCCTCAGCCTGCCTCAGCCTCAGCCTGCATCAGCCTCAGCCTCAGCCTCAGCCTGCCTCAGCATCAGCCTGCCTCAGCCTCAGCCTCAGCCTGCCTCAGCCTCAGCCTCAGCCTGCTTCAGCCTCAGCCTCAGTCTGCCTTCAGCCTCGGCCTCAGCCTCAGCCTGCCTCAGCCTCAGCCTGCATCAGCCTCAGCCTGCCTCAGCCTCAGCCTCAGCCTCAGCCTGCTTCAGCCTCAGCCTCAGTCTGCCTTCAGCCTCAGCCTCAGCCTCAGCCTGCCGCAGCCTCAGCCTGCATCAGCCTCAGCCTCAGCCCCAGCCTGCCTCAGCATCAGCCTGCCTCAGCCTCAGCCTCAGCCTGCCTCAGCCTCAGCCTCAGCCTGCTTCAGCCTCAGCCTCAGCCTGCCTTCAGCCTCGGACTCAGCCTCAGCCTGCCTCATCCTCAGCCTGCCTCAGCCTCAGCATCAGCCTGCCTCAGCATTCAAAATGTGGCCCTCAGCCTGCCTCAGCCTCAGCATCAGCCTGCCTCAGCATTCAAAATGTGGCCCGGGAATGGAGTTCTGGGAACTCGGAGAACACGAAGTGGCCTACAGTTGGCTCCGGGCATTCAAAATCATGCCCAGGAATGGAGTTCTGGGAACTCGAAGAGCACGAAGTGTGTGACTGTTTGCTTAAAACGAGCCCTGTTCTCGCCTGTCCGGCTCCCGCCCAGACCCCCCTGGGGAGTCATCAGATGCTCTCTTTTGACCCCATTAGAAACCTATCAGTCTTCGCTGTTAGGTGAAAAACTCGAGAACCTCAATCCCTGGAGGCCCCAGAACGGAACCGCATCCCTGAACAACTTCCCAGATTGAGCAATAGGTCGATAAGACAGCCGATGAGGGCACAAAGGGGATCATACTTCTTGACCCCAATCACGTTCCAAAGAAGGGTGCACATCCCGTAGAAGCACTCAAGATTGTACCAGAGGCCCCTGCTGAGACGGCCGAGGAGTGACACAAGAGGCTGGCGAGAGCCTCACAAGAAAGGTGCCGCAATACTTGTTCCTGATACTCTTCTTCTCACTCTTACCCCCGATGCTCCATCGCAACGGACTAATCCAAATCACTCAAAATCAAATCACAAAATCATAGCATTCTATGAGTATCCGTGCCGTGAGGCACGAACAACAATGCCCTCGGGTCCCTTCGAGTTCTCCGTACTGAATGTTACAAACACTCTTCAAACAGCAAGACCCAGAGTCACAGCATTCCTGGGCGCTCTGGGCTGCTTCCAGGCGCTCCGGGGGCTGCCCCAGCAAGAGACCTCCGAGAGCAGGCGGCCCCAGCATCGAATCGATAAGCCGGATCGGGTCGACCGGAGCATCGAATCGGCAGAAATCGGCAAAAGCCGGCAGCCAAATCGAAATCGGCTGAGGTCGGCAGGTACGAGCCGGATCGAGTCGGAATCCGGACCGCGTCAAGCCGGATCGGAATCGAAATCGGAACCACCCCTGGGGGGGGGTTGGGCTGTTGGAAACCCCCCCTGGGGGTGAGTTGGGGTCCCGGGGCTTTGGGAAAACCCCCCCATGGGGGGAGTTTGGGGTCCCGAGGCTTTTGGAAAACCACCCCCTGGGGGGGGGGGGGGGGTCCGGGGCTTTTGGAAAACCACCCCTCTGGGGAGGGGGTGGGGTCCTGGGGCTTTTGGAAAACCCCCCCCTGGGGAAGGGGGGGGGTTTGGGGTCCCGGGGGCTTTTGGAAAACCCCCCCCTGGGGGGGGGTTGGGGTCCCGGGGCTTTTGGACCCCCCCCCCCTGGGAGGGGTTTGGGGTCCCGGGGCTTTTGGAAAACCCCACCCTGAGAGGGGGTTGGGGTCCCGGGGCTTTTGGACCCCCCCCTGGGGGGGTTTGGGGTCCCGGGGCTTTTGGAAAACCCCCCCCTGGGAGGGGTTTGGGGTCCCGGGGCTTTTGGAAAACCCCCCCCTGGGGGGAGGGGTTGGACTCCCCCCTGGGGGTTCCTCCTCCCTCCTCCTCCTCCCCTTGGGGGCCAGAGCCGGTGCGAAGCCGAATCGGCAAAGGCCGGCAGGAATCGGCTGATGCATCCAATCGGAAGAAGCCGGATCGGGCGAACTCGAAATCGGAATCGCGAATCGGAATCCCGAAATCGAGTCGGTTCGAAATCGGAATCGCGGAAATCGATTCGAATCGAACCGGCGGAATCGGAATGACCCCTGCCGAGAGGCCCCCAGACGCCCCCGAGAGGCCTCTAAGGCGGTAGCGGGGTGGGCCAAAGGCCACTAGATACTAGATCAGACCGTACCAGCGGAGACCACAATGACGGACCCGACCGCGCACAACGACTCACGAACAGACCAGGCCAAAACAGGAAAGCTCAGAACAGGCCATAGGAGAGTGAGCCGCCCATGCGCCCACAAAGACGACAGCTCCAATGGCGGGGAACCAGTGGTCGATGAATCCGCCACCGTGCCTTGTGCACGTTGAGGCGTAGAAGAATGCCACGGGCTGTCTGATATGGTTTCTGCGTTCTCATAAAGGACTCCCGCACGCACACCACACACACACACACACACACACACGCAGCCTCTACCAGCGTCTAACTGCATGCACCGCCCCCCTCTCTTACGGCTCCCTGGGCAATGATCCCTTGATCCCTCGTAAACCGCCAGCCCCCTTGTGGGGCCACCAGGCTGTAGGACCAGGGTAGGGTTTGCTGTTCCCTGCACCAGATCCAGTTTCCAATTTCCACTGTTACAATTATGCTTCTTGCTGCTTACCGTTCCTTGTTGATGGACCGCGCGATAGGGGGAGCCAAAAAGCGTGCGGATTACCACGCCCGAATCGCGTTGCCTGAATTCCTGGGGAGGGCGTGGGACGCGTAAAAATATTCAAATTTCGCGTCCCCGAAACCATCAACCTTCGTACATTATATAATAGTCGGTAACCATCGTGAATTATACAACATTCGCGTCCCCGAAGCCATAAACCCAAGCAAAATACGCCATGTTCGTGTCCCCGAAGCCATAAACCTTCGAACACTGTACAAAACTTGCGTCCCCAAGGCCGAAACCGCTCGTAAGTCGCACAATATTCGCATCCCCGAAACCATAAGCCCCCGGAAAAAAAGAACACTAGATTCGCGTCTCCGAAACCATAAACCCTCGTAAAGTATGCAATAGTTGCGTTCCCGACACAATAAACCATTAAACGTTATACAATAGATGCGTCCCCGATACC